GAACCGATTTTCACGAAACTTTGCACACATCATTCTACACTTAATTCAGTACGATATGCCAAAATGCAAATCGAATGATATATAGGGACTTTTGTACACAAGTTACCTTAAATCGGACGAAGATATATATGGGAGCTATATCTAAATCTGAACCGATTTTCACGAAACTTGGTAGACATCATTCTAGACCTTATTCATTACGCTGTGCTAAATTTCGTGCAAATCAAAAGATTTTCAGGGATTTTCGTGCACTATTTACCTAAAATCGGGCGAAGCTTAATATGGGAGATATATCTAAATCTGAACCGATTTTCACGAAACTTTTCACACATCATTCTAGACTTAATTTAGTACGCTGTGCAAATTTTCGTGCAAATCGATAGATATATAGGCATATTGGTACACAATTTACCTTAAATCGGACGAAAATATATATGGGAGCTATATATAAATCTGAACCGATTTTTTCCAAGAGTGAGTGAGCTGTGCCAAATTTCATCCAATTCGGATCATAAATGCGACCTGTACTTTGTTTACAATTTAACACCAACAGACGGACAGACGGACGGACGGACATGCATAAATCGACTCAGAAAGTGATTCTATGCATATTCTCAAAAGGAACCATGGGTCTATCTCGATTATTTTTGCATGTTACAAACTTATGCACAAAGACATAATACCCTGTACCACAGTGTGGTGAAGTGTATAAAAATATACCATGTTGTCAATGCTTTGCCAGGAGGTTTTTTATCCTTAAAAAACGATTTTTTTATTCCAGTCACTCAGGTTGTGTGGCTGTTATATCAAAAAAATGTGCTGTCAAAAAAGTCTGTTATTCTCTGAAAACCCGAAATGTTTAATCAAGGTCAAATCGGTCGAAAATCTGCCTTGGACTAGGACAGGATACGTATATGTGGGGGCAATGTTACAACATTGAAAATATTCTGTGAAGAAGTTTTTTAACCTACGGAATCCGGATTGTCAAATTGCTCAATAAATTTATGACAGAAATTCGGAACTGAAAATATATTGTAGTAAATTTTTGAATTAAAATCATTTTGTCGACGTCTATGCAGATATATTTTTAAAACCGTTTTAATATAATACCCAAATATTTTTTCCTGTACTTCCCATTTAACAAGCACAATTTGCCTTGTTTATAAAGTGAAAAAAAAACAACAACAAAAATTGCATTTACCATACAACATGGAAAAAAACAAACGCCCTTGTCTACCTTTTGGCTAACGATCGACTAATAACAGAAGTTGTGCAGTCCATTAACTATGGCCCTTGTTTTATGTTTTTCAGCAAGCATTTCCTCTTTTTTTCATACACTCCCATTTTTTTCATACAAAAACAGCAGCAACCGACATAAAAAAAATCCAACAAAAAACGACAGCAACGATAACATGACAACATTTAAAATGACTTTGAACTCCAATGTTGTTAGCCAAAGATGAATGAATAACAGCAACAACAACTGACTGTTTGAGGGTTATGGGAAAAATATAATGTATTGAGTTTCAGGCAAATGGTTTTGAATTTTTTTTTTCGTTACTTCCATTTCTTCTATAATATTTTCTTGTCATCACCTGGCTGGCTGGCAGGAGTTCATGACATAAATCCTGCCCTGCATAAACTACATATATTCATGTTTGTATATCGATTTTTTCTTCTTTGTTGTGGTTGTGAATTTCTTAGTGTTAGTTTTCGTTCTTTTTTTTCTTTCTCTTTCTTCAGTTTATCCTAAAACCTAACAGGAAATTGTTTAGAAAGGAAAATTGCAAGCTTCCGGGGAAGAGTTTTGACTTTTATGTGACACTCTGTATTTTTTTCCAAAACTGACTGTTAAGGGAAGGTCTTATGTGTCGTGGCTTATAAAATATGTGGAATGTGTATATGTAAGGTTTGTCAGAAGAAAATACATTTTTTGTTGTCATCGAAAGTTGATGTGTATTTTCAAAAGGCTAAAATGTGTGTGTTGGTTTTTTTGGGATTTATAACGTTCAATGTTTTAAATTTTTGTCAATCTTAACTGAAGGCCATTCAAATTTATTTTCAAATGCGTACTCTGTAAATCATCCAACTGAGATAATAAATAACTACTTTTATTGCTTGGAAGTGTACAATGTTCGAATAGTTTGTCTTTCGTATAATGGAATTTACGTTGAGTGTAATTTTAGGTATTATTTTATGTGAATGCTGTTAAGGTCACAGCAATATACTATAAATATACTTTTTATTTTATAGGAAATAATTTACAGACAAACATAAAGGGTTTCATGACCAACTACATTTTTACTGAATTTCGATATTTTAATTATAAAAACATAGTCCTAAAAAATGAGTAAATGGCGCCCAATACATAATAAGTAGGTTTATTTTACACACCACCATTGTGAAATCTACATATTTAATAACTATAAAGAAAAGGTTCTGAGCGATCAAATGTTGGGCGCCATTCACATTTCTTTCCTTCCCCAAGACAAACGAATCTTTGAAAGTATTAAAAACATTTGTCAAGGGATGTGTTACTCTTTTTAACCACAAAATACTCATTCATTGCGAAATCGTTTTGAAATCTGTCTAGGTCCACAAAAATACTTAAATTAGGGTTGGACCCTTTTTATAATAACTAAGTTTATTTTATACGGACTCAATATTATTACTATATCAAAAACTAACTCAACAAATTACTATCCAAAAATTGTTTTTTAAACGTTAAGAGCACATCTCGACCATTAAATTTGACCCTCACGCAATTTGTTTAAGATTGCTATCTATTATGTTTAATGTACAAATTCTTCTGGATTGTCATGTATAACCTGACAACGTTTTATGATGTATGTATGATGTATAACCTGACAACGTGGGAAAAAAATATTTACCCGCAAAAAATTTCAACAATTGTCAAACAAATTAAGCGAATGCACACCAACAAAAAAATATTTACCAGACATTTTTCATGTCGCCCATACACATTTTATGTCAAGGAAAGAATGGAACATCATTACATGGCAATGAAGGTATTTGAAAAAATTGTACAACATAAGGAAATTGGGAGGAAGAATTTCTCGGTATAAAATGCCGGTTTATGTAGCTCCTTTGAATTTAAGATCTTATTTCAACATAAAGAAATCTGTTATCCAAAAATTGATCTTCTCCTAAAAATTAGTTTAGATTATTTCTTACTTACTTAGCTACTTCTGACAGAAAATTTGTTCCATAAACCGATTTCCAGGCGCGCCGGTCTTGTGTGCACCTCTTCCAATTTGAAGGGCCATGTTTCGAAATGTTGTCTTCCACTTGGCCTTTCCTCTCTGCGTGAGCCATTAGTTGGCTCGCTTTTATATGCCTTTTGAGCTGGGGCATCCTGATCGATTCTCACAACATGACCCAGTCAGCGTTGTCGCTGCAGCTTGATACGTCTGTCCGAGAATAGATGGTACAACTCATGGTTTATTCGACGCCTATATTCAGCGTCGATGGAGATCGGCCATAGATCTTTCGGAGAATTTTTTTCTAAAACATTTCAAGGACTGCCTCATATGCTTGCGCAAGTACACATTCTTCAGATCCATACAAAATCACGGATAGTATCGTCGTCTTGTAGAGTGTGAGTTTGGTGTGGCTAGATGTGGCCTTGTTTTTGAATTGCTTACTCAGACCATAGTATCATCCATAGTATCATCTATTTTTCTCCGTATTTCAAAACTGATGTTATTAGTTTTGTTAATGGCTGTACTGAGGTATATAAAATCGATCAAAGCTGTAGTTTTCAGGTTCCACAGTTTATCCAAGTCTACTGGACGTGTTGCGCGTTGATACCATCAGCTTGATCTTCTCGCCATTTACTGCCAGTCCCAAGTCGGCTGGTAATCCATAGACACCTGGTGCTTTATTATTCTGCAGCCGATTAATTGCTATTCTGACATAATCTTGGCAATTTATACCGTCATCTCTGAAGTATCTTCTATACCATCACTATTTGATACCAGATTACTTCTACTTGCACTTATAATCGGTTAATACCTAGATTAATTGATCCTATCTAAAAAAAACCGATTATAACGGATTTTGCATGTGATTTTCTAGTTATGGACTTTCTAGTCATCTCTCAACATGGAAGCTATGACCTCATATTGCTCAAATGATGTCATCAGCGTATATAAGCAGTTATCCTCCTGCAAATAATTCTGGTATGCATCAGAAGAAAAAAAATTAGTTTTAGCTTTCAAAATCAGAATAATTCGCTTTATTTACAAATTTAAACTGATATACAAATTCCATATACTTAAATTCTTAAAGTCTGCAACGTTTGGATATATTCTGCTACTGCTCCAGTACTGCTGTTGGTATTACAAATAACTGAAGACGTAGGAAGAAGGAATTGCTGGTTGTAGCGATCCGGATTAAGCTTCGTTCCCTGCTGCCTCTTTCGATATAAACCTCGACAACTTTTCAAGTTGTAAACCCTTTTCTATAAAGGCCCACGACGGCTTTTTATTTTGACTCTGCAATAGTTTTTTTTAAATAAATGCAAAATCGACTAAAAATTTAATTTTTTTATAATTAATTTTTTATTTTTCCGGAATATGTAATTTTTGGGCCAAGTATTTATGAAGAAGATCGAAAGTCGATCTTGAACTATTCAACTTTTCGATTGCATTAAAAATAAAAAAAATCGACTTGAACTTTTAGACTTTTAAATATAAAAAGTCGATTAATTGATTGGTCGAAAGTCGATTTATTTATCCCTAGTTGTTAATCGGAAGAAACTATATTTAATAGACCCTTGTGTATCAAACCCCATATTTGTCATACTAATTTCCCAAACCGTTAACTAACAATAACAAATCCCTCAAAAAATATTCTTCTTTTCAATTACAGAAAAAACAAATCTCTAATTAGGCCTATGCAAAACTCTTAACTTAAGCCTATGATTCAAAATTCCCCTTTTAAAACTCCGTTTCATATTTCCTTTTGTCTATTTGCAGGTGTTGGTGTGGTCCTGGTGACAGTTAGTGGTGCTGCCTGGCGTATGACTGCTCCCGGTGGACCGCCTTGTCTTGGTTTGGGCTCCAGTGTCGATTTGGGCAGATGTGGTCGACGGCCCTGTAGTCGAGGTGGTGGTGCACCACAAGGTCTACTCTATCCCGAGTTTCAACATAGGCCACCGCCTCCTTCATATCAGGCCAGTATGCAAGAATATCGTTTAAGGTTAGTAGTAGACAAAAGTTTTGCCATTGAGTATTCGGCTCTTGCCAAGTCGACAGCTTAATGACATTAAACTTAAACTCTCTTTGCAACAAAACAACAACAAAAAACCGAAAATAATAGCAAGAACAGGAACAGCAGCAAATGATATAACTACAAAGTAGTAGCAGGACTTTTTACACCATAAAATGTGGCTAACCACATAATGTGGTTTTAAAAAGGATTTCAATACATTTACTAACACATGGAAAACGACCAAAGGTGGAGATGTGTGTGTTCATCGTCTGCTCTTTTATCCTAGTGCGTAAATTTCGAACAAATCCCGAGAAGGAGGTACTTTTTTCCCCCTCCACCAAAAGTGGATTGCATGTCATTTGACCAACAAAAGCTTACCGTAGACGAAGAGGATGTCCTCCTATTGTATGGATTTTGTAAAGCAATTGTTGCCGTTCCTTCGACCGTTACATCGAGGTTTCTCTCCCTCTCTCCTTAAAACCAATTTAATCGAAACGATTTTTCTGTGGCTCCTTCTCTCATTGTCGGTCATTTGTTTTTGGCAGCGGCAAGAAGTAGAAGAAAGACGAAGAAGGAAATTTGCTGCAGCTATTGTTAATGATTGCATGTCCTTGTGTCATTTATTATAGAGTTTCCTTTAGACGTTCGGTGAGTGGTGTCTTTGTGGTTATTTGCTGATTTTTTGTTGTTGTTGCTATTACAACAATAGTACTGCTATTATTGTTGTTGTTAAAAAATCCAAAAAAAAATGTTTTATAGAAAATGGCAATTAATTTACACAAATTGTTTTTGTATGTTATTTTTTCTGTTCTTACATACCAACAAATTTTCTTTTGTTCTTTTATCGTAGACTACTACTTTTGGATCGAGATCGCCAAAATGGCGTAGTTCGTGGCAGTTCACCGCCTCCCACTTATCGTTCACATGCCGGAAGTTTGCTAAGGTAAGGATAAATTCATTTTAAATGTTAGCAATAAAATATCCTAACCACCGACCAGGACAACGACAATGACGACGACGAAGCCGCAGCCGCAGCCGACAACAAAGTGCCTTTAGAAAATAGCTGCCTGCTGTATGTGGTCAGTTTAAATTTGGCACTGCTCTCTAATAAAACAAACAACGTAATTTAGAGCAATTGTGTTGTTTTGGGGTGGCCGGCTGTCTGGGTGGCTTTGCAAAATTTGCCAGGGTCATTAGGTGCACAATCAATCAAATGTTGTTGGACATACTGGCTTTGGGTATTATAATGACGCATATTATTTTGTCATAATAAAGACATGTATTGTGTTGAAATGCCCAGACGTGCCATTTGTGGAGAAAACAAGTCTACAGGATATTTGCGTGTGTGTTGATTTTGACGCTATGAGCCAGGAATGTGCTTAAATTGCATTATTGGTATTAGGGGGGAGGGAGTAACTTTCTTTTGTAAAACTACACAATTTAATTTTAACTTTGGCAAAATCTGTATATAGGTTTAGAAGAATAAAATTATAAGTCATTATATCCAGGCCGATATTCATGTAGTTTGCTCGATGACGGTGTTCTTGATCGAGCCAAATTGTCTGTGTAGGTTGAACTGGTTCACTCGCTATTTTAAGTGAATATTTCCATTGAACTAGTTTGTGCGTGAACTAAAGAACCCTTGCCACGGACAGTGACTCATGGGATAGCGAAACCCTAGCACAAATGTGATCTGGCAAATGTTGTTTCACAGATGGCTACCGGCTAGCAGGAAAGTCGGGAATGTATTTTTTGATTGAAGAAATGAAAACGGAAATGTAACTTCGCCTGTCAGATAATACGTTCATACAGGCCGAGATTCAAGTTATCATAGTCTCCAAACTAGGGATATGTAGACGACTTTTCGATTTTTGTCGCTGACCAAAAAATTAATTTTTAGGCTTTTCGATTTCTCTCTTTGTCTAAATCGACTAAAATAAAATTCTACAATGAGTAATTTTTGAGCAATTTGAGCTTTGAGATTATTAATAAAGTCGATCTTTAAAATTCGACTTTGCAAAGATCAAAAGTCGACTTGAACTTTTTAGATTTTTCAATACAAAAAGTCGATTAAACGATTAGTCGAAAGATAATGCCTAATAGCCGTTAAATCCAAAATTGTACTGGAATGTATAAAGCCATGCATTTAGTGACACGGTCTTATAGAAGAGCTGAAGGTCTTCTTATAGAAGAGCTGGAGGTCTTCCTATAGAAGAGCTGGAGATCTTCCTATAGAAGAGCTGAAGAGTTGGAGGTCTTCCTATAGAAGAGCTGGAGGTCTTCCTATAGAAAAGTTGGAGGTCTTCCTATAGAAGAGTTGGAGGTCTTCCTATAGAATAGTTGGAGGTCTTCCTATAGAAGAGATGGAGGTCTTCCTATAGAAGTTTTGGATGTCTTCCTATGGAAGAGCTGTAGGTCTTATTATAGCAGAGCTGGAGGTCTTCTTATAGCAGAGCTAGATGTCTTATTATAGCAGAGCTGGAGGTCTTTTTATAGCAGAGCTGGAGATCCTCTTAGCTGGAGGTCTTCCTATAAAAGAGCTGGATTTATTCTTATAGAGGGTCTGGAGGTATTCTTATAGAAGAGCTGGAGGTCTTCTTATAGATTGATGTTCTTGAGGGTTCAAGATTTATTGAAGTCTACCCTACATATATACATAAATTGACATAGCCCCTATATAAGCGTAGCACCCATTACAAGTATTTTGAAGGTTTTCCCATTGCAAGTATAGGAGGAAAATTAGCTATATATGTCCATATAAAGGTACGAACTAATTTTCGGATTTTTTTTTTACCGAATTTTCGGCTCCATGTAAAGGTCCCAGTATTTTGAATATTTTTAATATTTATCAGACTTGAATGGTTCCGCCCCTTTTTATTAAGTTTTAACCGAATTTTCTGCATGTCGGTTTCTTTCCACCGATTCAATGCCAAGTATTATAATATCAAGAATGTCAAGTCGAGCGGAAAACCCTACACAACTACCACTGAATGGCAATATTTGGTCACTTTAGGCTTTGATTGACCCTCAGAATATGAATTGATCATCATTTAAACAGTCGTTCTAAGTATTTGGTCAGATCCCCTTCACCGCATAAAATATCTGATGTTATCCATATGGCCAATGGTCTCCACAGCGACTAGAAAATCGGAATCGGCACCCTCTAAATATTATCTCAACATCAACGAAAATTATAGGTGCCATCCTTGACCACAACCGCAACTTCGTGTAAAATTTCCAAGCGATCAGCGCGACATTTACACCTTCTAGTGGGGTAATAGTAATACTAAACAATATCAGAATACGTAGACCCCTGTAACTATTTAAGTAAAACTTCCACATCGGAGTACATACATACAGCATAATTGGTATCAATTTAAAGGTCAGCCACTACTCGTGGATATACTGTCAACTTCTCGGGTCTATGTTTTTCAGGAGTAAATATACACACCATAGAATACAAATTTTGTCTCTTTTCACACAAAAGTCTGGGCCCATTTGGACCGCTAAACCGGTCTTCATCAAAACTGGCATTCTTATTCAATGGCCATCCCCTCTCTCTGTGTAAAATTTGGTAGAGTTTGGGGTTATAATTGTGGGCTCTAGAGCGTCCAGAAAAACAGACCAAAAGAAAGTTGTTGGTCCATTTCATCCCCAAAATTTTAAGGGATCATTACCCAATAACAATAGGGATATTTTTGACCAGAACCTATCCTCCTCCGTCATATATGCAAAATTTCGTTACGATTGGTCCATAACTATAATGGACGTAAGGACTGACAGACACACATGTCTAGTTCTACTCATCTAGTCGAGATATGATGATTGGTATACTTAAAGTTGGGCTTAGGACCTCAATTTGGCGGCGTTACAAAATCTTGGGGCTGCACAAAGCTATAATACCTGACAACATAGTTGTGTAGGGTATAATAACTATTTTTAACCAATAATAATATTTAATTACAGAATCGTAGTTAATTTATAAAGCATTAATTCAACTCGAATCTTAAGTGAAGGTTAACTTAAATCGACAATGTTCACTTCCATACAAAATAAAAATTAAATTCCATATTACCTCCGAATAACTACCACAGACAGTCAGTCTAAAGAACAGACAGATGTATATTACTAAAAATCCCCCGCCATAAAACTTTTTCCTAAACGCATATAATTTTAAGATTTTTTTGCAAATCATGCCTGTCATCTTAACCCGACACAGATGTTGAATTGGCTTAGCGGTTTCATTTTGCTGAATGTTGAATTGTGACAACTTTTGCCATAAACAAAATTACAGTGAAAACGTAGCACTTGGAACCACAATAAATGATATCGTCCACCACCATCCTACTTCTGCTCATGCTTCTTCTTCTTGTGTACCAAAAGAAGTAAGAGTGAAAAGTTTTCAAAGGTGTGTGTAAAGAAGTAATATTGAAATCAAGATACAATAAAATTCCATGCTGTGAAGGTTAAAGAAATTACAGCAAAAATTCAGAAAGTCTCGAAAATGGACAGACATTTTGCAGACAGAGGGCGAGGAAAAACATACAGCAACAATAAAACAAAAAAAAAAAAACAAAGTTTGTTGTTGTTTTTGAACTTTGTAGACTGTGGCTGCTGTGGTGTTAATATTGTTTTGCAGAAAAAATTGTAAAGTTTGTTATTATTGTTGGGATTTGGTTACAGTTCGATATGGGTGGTTAAATTGTTCAGCATATACCACCCACCGTCAGTAGTAGTCGTCCTCATTGCCAGAGAAAATGCTATAAATTTACACCTACCCTAAATAACAACATCAGGAATGCTGCTGCTTTTGCTGCGGAACCAAAAACCCACCGACAAACATAACCACAATTCATTTCTCCCAAAGACTTTTGCCTTTCGCATTCATTTTCCATTGCTGTTGTTGTGATATTATTTATGGTTTACGCCACCAATTCCAGGGCAATAGCCAAAAATAGGTATGTGTATGTATGTATGTACGTATGCAGAATAGTCATCGTAGTGGCAATAACATTCCAACGATATTCATTTTCGCAGACTTTTGAAGTTTTATGGTTTCCATCGAAACCAAGGCACCCAGCCACCTCCCCACCCATCAGATAAATCCCGAACATTTCTGTACCATATTCTTGGTGATAATTTATGAAATGAATCTTGAAACTTCGGCGGAGGAAAGGGTCGGATATAAATGACTTTTAAGTTTCGCTTAAAAGGAACGTGAATGTGGAATAAATTTGATGCTTTCACTTTAATTTGCTGCAATGTCATTGCCATTAGTTCTGGAACAAATGAATATGTTCCAGAATTAATTGGAATTTGGCATGTTTGTAAATATGTTTTATGGTTTGAACACTAATGTTATGCTGTCAGCTTGGAGAATTTGTTCACAGAATATACTAAGCTTCAAATTTATTCGAAGTACGTAATAGCTTTTATTACCCTTCATCAAGAGGTGGGCATTTAAAATATTTTAAATCTATTGGGAAATTTATATGGGGTTGACACCTACCCCACATAAATTTCCCTACCCCATATAAATAAACAGGGTCCTATATTAAATATTTTTTAATAATAAGCCGGAATGTCTAATTGCTGCTACATCGATTGGAAACTGCGTATTTGGTATTTTAAATACTAATAGTCGAATGGTGCCGTGAATACTGACATTTTTTTACATACCAAAACCCAGGATGCCAAATTACAGACTATTCGATTGGAAAATGAGGTTACAACCTTCAAAATACCGGGAATATGTAGGCTATACTAATACCTAAAATTGTTCGTGATAAAGTTTTTTACCTACCAAGTCAAATGGTCATAGGGTTCGGCCGGTTTCAAATTTGTTTGACTTCCGCCTTGTGGTAAACATTCAAAATTCCTAATATCAATCGGGATGCAAAAATAAATTGATGCCAGCAGGAAATGAAATATTACATTACAGGC